CCAGAGAAATATGACTTACTTTTCGTAATTCGCTTTTCAAAACTGACTTTCCTATAAGCGCTTATAGGTTCCTACAAACGTATTCCATATTCTCCATTTACTACGAGAAAAATGTTCGATCAGATAACATCTACAATAATAACACTTTTCATAATAATAACACTTATAATAATGATAACATCTTCGACAATATCTGCAGAAAATGATAGCCATTTCATCGTGCCATGTCATCGTACGATATCTTTTGTTCTTTTCATAGGGGGAACTCTAGAAACGAATAATATTTTCCTCTAAAATAATTCGGTGCGATAGGCTATGTTACGAAAAACGATAAAAAAAAGACACGAGAACTTTTCGAGGAGCTTTGCAGTTTTACAATTTGGATTTTCCATTACCGATTAAGCGGAACGATTAAATGTTTACTGGACGAATACAGCGTAAGAAATCGCGACAGTCCTTCGTGCACAGATGGAATGAGCCTTGCCCCAGTGACGCCGAGGTCGACATATATGTTTCCATTTTTCATATTACCTTACTCGAGAAATCTGTTTCCCCGCGGCGCGATTTGTGGCGCCACGAATCCCGTCCACTTACTTTTATTTGAAATTAATTAATTGAACGTTGACGCGTTGCGTCGCGCAGTGTCGCCTCGCCTCGCCTACTGGTTATTCTTATATCGATGATAATTGAGCCGTTTATTTCGAAAGTGGCATGAGTCACTTTTTCAAAAAAAAATCGAGTTAATGGTAACACTAATTACAATTGAACGGTATCTTTTGATTTTTTAAAAATTTGCAATCAATAAGTTGAGAACTATTGAGATTTGTTCGAGAGAAGTTTTGCTGATTAACGGTATAACAAACATGTTTATTTTCAAAGTGGCGCAAGTCGCTGTACTCGGGAAATTCATTGCGGGGCTTGGCGTAAAAGAAATAGAAACGTGTGATAAGTGTGTGCGAAGTATTGTTTTGAATTATTTTCAGTACTTTTAAAAAAGTTCTGATCACTGGACTTATTTTTATAAGTGCGAAAGAATAGTGCAGTTTTGTAAATTATATTATAG